TTCTACAGCCAGTTCTACAGCCAGTTCTATTGCCAATTGAGTGTGCATCTAGTTGAGTGTGCAGCTAATTGAGTGTGCAGCCAGTTGAGCCAGTTGAGTATATAGCCAGTTGGGAATCCCGACGTTTTGCCGGGAATAAGAAGATTTCAAATAAGAGGGTGAAAAATAAGAAGCACCTTTTCGATGCTCCTTATTTTTTACCTTCTTATTGCCAAAATCTTCTTATTTTTGCCCACAAATTGCCTATTGGGGGAAAACCGAAGACCCTGGTCAAAAGAGTACATCGGAAATCTGACCTTATGGCTGCAAATCGTGGATAAAATAAGAAGGAAGAATTGTGAACAAGTGTGGATCACTTATACAGGCTGTCAACCACCTGCCAGGCTCAAAAGTGGGTATGCTGACGTAAATAAGAGGGTGAAAATAAGCCAGATTCGACTTAAGCCGGTGAGAGAATCACGCCCTAAAGGAGTCTTGATACTTCAGTCAATATATACACACACTTGACATCGCATTGCTGAAGAATGAGGCCCACACAATGCTTTCGGCTTCTGCCCATCAATGGTACAGCATTACGAGAACAACATAATCATGCTTGCAGATGCCCTCTGCATCATCATCAATCCCCACATTGCCCAAGAGACGTGGTCCGAATAGCCGCAAACCGCAGATCAGTGGGACATTAGCTCCGGCTTTCCAGACGGAGGCCTCGAGTTTGGGCCACGTAAAGGAACAACGCCACCGTGTGGTCGCTCTAATGGATGCGGATGTTATGACCATATTTCGTTACGCTGGTATATGTGAGTACGAATTGATATTCATGGTCGAGCAAGTACGTCGACATTTTGGGCCAAACAAGTTCAGCACGCTTCCAAAGGTAAAAAATCAGATGTGATTCTCAAAGATTAGATGTCGGCGCAAATTATAATTTTCCCGCAAGCGCTTGACGTACTAAATTGATCTTGCAAGAGATCTTGAAATAATGATTACGCTCTGGAACGCATGACAGGTAGCTGGTCGGAAACGTGATACAAACATCCGGCAAGATTACCGAGGTTATGCACAAATCTTAATTTCGTAGCATAGCGAGCACAATCCCCCGGATAGGAAATTCCAATTCTTGGCAAATGGGACCGGTCAGCAGAATGACCAGGGAGAGCTGGCGGTGATGCATTAGTTAGCACTTCGGAATCCCATTCTTGGCCAGAGATCTCCGTTGGTACTCCGACAAGGTGCAACAGCGGCGGCAGCGTAATCTGTCATCCTCCATTTGTCACTTTATCTTCTTGCACTTCCTCTGTTCACTTACTATTGCGTAAGTCGACTGTGTTGTGGAGTCACGAGTAGCACATATGGCGCTGTCGACTGCCGGCCGATAAGCGGATGATGGGTGCACAATACAAAAAAAAATGGAGTCTGCTGGGAATTCTCAATATACAGGGTAGTTGTATGCATTTTACTGGGCTCGGTTCAAACATCGCTTAAATGGTATGTAAATATTGCATTAGTCAACATAAATCATGGCGCTCAGGAACCTGCATAGCTACTTATAGCACAGCAGTGCTGTCTTCAAAAGTGTTCCATCGCTCATGACTTTTGGCTATTTTCTTATCCGTTTTACTCGAAGAGTCATGATGGCATCTCCAAGGGCGTATTTTTGGCCACGACAAAAGCCTGTTTTACTCGTTCTTGCCTCACAGATCTTGGCGGCTGTCGTCAATGGATTGGCAAAGACTTTAGAGACGGGATGCGACCGTGTTCATCCACTTCAAATATTGAACATTCGGCTGCTCATCACGGGGGTGGCGTGTCTTGTCTATCTAATGATCACAAAGTCTGCCGACGGATTGTGGGGGCCCGAACACTTGATGATTCACTTATTTGTGAGAGGCATCACTGGTATTTGCGGCGCCGTAGGCTTTTACTTCTCAATCCGATATCTCACACTCGCTGAGGCGACTGCGCTGAACTTTCTAGCCCCGCTAGGCTCCATTTTGCTGGCCAAATACATCTGCGATGAATCTTTTGGTTGGGTAGATATCAGCGCAGCCGTTGCAGCGCTACTAAGCGTTGTCTGCGTTTTGCAACCCAAGGCGATATTTGTTCCCGAAGCTACCACCAACCCGGCTTTAAATCAGGAGCCCCATACAACGATTGGACTTTTATATGGTTCTTTAGGGGTATTTGGTGGAATGGTATGTGACAAACGCAGCGCTCCGGCACCTCAGTCGCAGTTTTAATGCTAAACCGCGACAGGTCTCGCTGACTGCTATACGATACATTGGCACCAAGACGAATCCAGTGATTGGCATTAATTATTTCGCCTGGTTGACTGTTGCAGCGACAACTGTTGGCTTGATGATACTGCCTAATATATCCTGGCCTTCCGGCACTGTTCAGTGGATTCAGCTTCTTCTGATTGGCCTCTTCGGTTTTGGCATGGAGTATCTTCTGGCCATGGGACTGTCTGGTGATGTTCCTGCTACCGCAACAGTCATGATATATTCACAGATCTTCTGGGCTGTCTTGTTTGATTGGTTCAATTCCAAGACTGTGAGCAACTTTTGGACGTGGTTCGGGTCTATAGGTATTTTACTCAGTCTCAGTGCAGCCTCGCTCTCACAGGCCACACGGCCACCTGCATATTCTTTACTTCAGATGCAGGAGGGGGAAGAGATGATTTTACATGACAGGCAGGCTACGAGTAGTACGTCATCCACTTGTATGGAATTGGAAATGATAGAGCAAAATCGACAAAGCGATTCATAATCACTATTTATCAATATTGCAATTATATAATAGCGCTATCAATAACATTATTTCAGCCAAGAGGATCATTGGGGCCAGCCAAATTTTATAGATCTGTAGGCGATACAATACGCAACACGAGTCTAGTAAATAGTCGTGTCAGGGGAGTCAAATTCGCGGCTCGTCAGAAAAAGGAAGCTGGATCTAGCGCGGAAGCCTTTGAGACTACTCGTTTCGCTTGGCCGCCCTCCCGGAACGGCACCTTATCTCACATAAGCAGAAATTTACTCCCGTATAGACGCGACCCGTTTCGACGCATCGTTGCTTCTTTGTAGACTATTGCAATTTATGTTCTCGGCAAACCCGCGCATAGATGGGACACAACGTTGCGTGGTGTATTTGGCCGACTAAAAAGGTTCGGGTGTAAAATATCGTCTCAGGAAAATACGGCCAGAAATGAACCTGAGTACATGATTACCGTTGACATGCCCAAGCCCCCTAGAAGACTGTGAGATGAATGACTTGAGGTGCGAATGTTTGATATGATGCGCATTTATGGATACAGTCATTTATTGTAGCATCGACCGAATGCATGTGTCCCTTTTCGTCTACTTTCTACTTACTTTTGCACTGCTTTTTAGTCCTTTCATGTCTTTTTGCTGGCAAGCCGAAGAGCTACCGCTCCTGTGTTCAAGATGGTGGCCGTGGCTGGCATCAACTTTGTGCCAACCACGATGAGCCTGTGCAGTCTTCCATATTACTCGAGTCTCAGCTCTTTTATTGCTTCGAATAATGCTTTACAATACCTATGCACCGCGAAGTATTTAATCAATGTGCCTACGATGACAACTAGTAAGAAACTCCGATTCTAAGATGTAGATTTTCAGCGTTACTTCTCATATGCGACCAATATATCCGCTTGATCGTACTCGTGAAGATGGAGCTTACAGTTTTGCTAATATGGCCGAACGGTGTATTTGATTGTTAATGGTCTCATAGCAATCGCCCCTGGTGCAACTACGATCATAACCATCACGACGATTATGACAAGTACCACCACGCCGGTCACTACAACCACAGGTGAGATTCGACTATTCAACAACGAGCTACCAGTCCATACATTGCCACCCAAACGATATAGGGCAAAATAGATTTTCCAGAGAAGTTTATGCTTATTTGTCTGCGCGTTAGATGAAGACATATCATTCGTAACCGAGACGGTAGCACCGACTACTACAACCGTTACTGTCATCGAATCCTCCACGGAGACGGTAGGTCAAAAGATTTACCAGTATCACTTTTGGCAATATTCATCACATGCAGCATGGGGTATCCAACCTAATTCATGCTGCTCGGTACAAGGCATCTGTAGAACCCGCTCGCCGGATCGACCATGATTCTGCGAGTATCAGGAGAGTGCTGTGATGTAACTCACGCTAACGACTCTTCTGGATAGGAGATCACAGCTAGAACGACCACAGAGACATCGATAGCGACCACGAGCACCACGATCACAACAACTGTCTGCTCCTCGGGACAGCCTATGATGATGAAGCGAGGCTATGGCGGTCGAACCTGCAATGGCAGCAAGGCCTCGCGCACTCACCCGCCTGAGCATATGTCAACCCCGAATCATCAGAGTGGTTCCAGCCCTGATTTCAGCTCTGGCTCCAACGCCGTGGTCATCAACGATGACAGTGCAGGTGGCGGCTACAAGAACGGGCATGGTGATTACCAACCCGACGGCTATGCAAGTGGCAGTGGTGGCAGCGATGCGAGCCCTGAAAGTTATAGCTCGAATGGTAACAGTGGTTATAATTATGGCAAAATTAGCTCGAGCTTCCGAGGAGGAAAGGGTCAAGGTCAGCTTCCTGATAAGCTTCCATACGAGGATGACAACAGTGGCTTCCATCCAGAACATTCGGCCTACGATGATACTAGCGGCCTATACCCTTATGGCGCCACAACAACAGGAGGGTTTACACTCGTGGTCGCTGATACAGGTACAAACGGACCAACCTTCCAATCACCATCCACGGCCGCCCGCAGCGGCACTTACACCGGCGGACCGACTTTGGACCCAACCATTTGCAGCTGCATTGCATCGATAATCACCAAGACTATTACAGACCATCGCTCTATCTCGACAGAAACCATCACAAGTACTATTACCAAAGTGGCTGATACATCCACTGATACTACAACCACAACAGTCACGAGTACAACGACTAGGACACCGATTGTGTCGGTTACCACTGCTAGCACTACGATTATTGCAACAACCACCTCTACTACGACGCTCACAACCACGACTACGAGCACAACTACATCCACCGCCCCCAACACTGCTACTGTCACCGCCGCCGATATGACTACATACCAGGGACCAGCGCCGGTCAGTATTAACTTTATATCTCTCCCAAATCTTCCCTGCTTCTCGCGTTCGCTCCATTTACACGTGATAATGTGTCAAACTTGTTAATCAATGTTGTAAATGCTGACTTAAATGCATCCACCAGGGTGGAGACGGCTGCGGATGTGACTTTGCCGTTCAGTGCGGTATCACCGTACCCTTCTTTCGCTACTTTTACATCGAGAACACCGCAGTCGACTATTTTGCGTGCATCGACGCCTGTAACCATGTCCGCGCTTGCGATAGCGCAGGGTTCGATGTGATAAATCAGAGGTGCTATATCAGCGAATTTGCTGCAAACAATGACTTCACCTCGTTCTTTGGGAATGCTGCTTTGAAGAATTCCTCCTCGTGCATTTCGACCAGTGCCAGTAGTTCTTGTTCATAGAACTCCAATGCTCTTTCGACTTTTTCTTGATCTTCATATTTGTGCGCTTGGGGGAAGGGAAATGGTCAAGGAGCGTTGGGAGAGTTGAAGATGCAGTAGATATGTACCTAGCATGTCAATTAGTTTCAGTTTCTACTGGCTTATCTTTTCAGACGTAAAAGCATCATTACCTTAGCTTTCAAAGATTCCAATAACTTGGCGGCTTTTGAGGAGAGGAAGAAATTTTTACTGCCTGATAACATGAGATCCATAGATATTTGGAACTAATGCTTTCAAGTTAACGAGAAACCTTGACTACAACCAACCCTTTGGATTAATATCAAGGGATTCACTATCAGGGGATACTATAGCTAGCCTTATTGGTTAACCAGCGTTGGTTCCTCTTCGAGACGCTGGCCTGCACTGGCCCGGAAAAGACTGGTGACTAGCTGGAGAGTGCTATATTGATGCTTGACGGAAGGATTAATTGAGAAAGACATGCTGGAAGATACTGTTCTCATATAAATCATTCGTTTTTGGTTTAAATCAATGTTCATTTTCCAAGGACGACAGTCCAAATATGAAGCTTTTGAGTTTCCATGCGGCACAGTGGGGTTGTTTCAAGACCTAGAGGGTTTTCCTTCGTCTTCATCATCTTATTCTTGCCTTTCTTTTGTCACGCTGCGTACTCCTAGAGTCTGCTGATTCATCATGGATACACCTTGAAGTGTCTGTAATCAGGCGGTAAATACGTACAACTTAATTTTGCATGTTGTTATGTAGCCTATTTTGGTGTGCTAGCAAGTGTATTTACATGACCCTTTCTGTGAGCAAGGCTTCCCGGTTGATATACTCCGCCGATACCACCCCTCAAGCAACTCAATAATATAACATCGGATGCGTCACATGCCTTTGAGTGTGAAACCCTGGTTAAAATTATCCTGTGGGTGGCGCAGTGGTCTGATTCCAAGAGGCCGTCATTGGTGGCTGTCCAGGCCCCCCAGCCTTGGGTGTGTGGTGTTGAGAGCCTTGTTACACCAGTTGCGGCTTCGCGATCCAACCTCAACAATGATGTTGGAAAGAGGCAGTTCATGGCTTACTCCGAAAACATTTGGGTGCCCGTAACTTATTCACCTGACGATGTAGTGCTACATCACTTGAGGTATGGTGGATATGTTTCCGTCCTCCGACCGAAGCAGGGTCACATCTCGATCTTATGCGTGGGTGTCTGTCGAATCAGCTCCTGCTCAAGTCCTACATTATGCGCCGTGTATTTAGATGGTGTTCGTCTGAACCATTATGATGTACGCGGTCGGATATGAGCTGATGCAGCTTTTCCTGAAGGAATGCATTATTTCGCCTCCTATTGGTTCCCTAGTCAACCGATGACTGTCGGTCGCCGTGTTTCCATTACGTTGCAATGGACGCCACACATCTGCGTGATTATCTCGCGGATTTTAGCACTCTGTGTAGTCCGTAGGGCTATGTAAGTGACCTAATTTTTATAATCATCTGACAAATGACTAGACGCCACAAACATGCAGCTGATGAAAGATAAAGTATCATTGAGAACATTTTTCTACTAGGGTTTAGTAGTATCCATTATTTACTCGACATCAGAGCCTTATCATACTAGAAATTCTACTGAAGTTGGTAGATATAGAGTTAACTTCAAAACTGTATATGCAGACACCAAAAGTTCGTCAGGTTGATTACCGTCACGTCAACAGAATTGATAAGACACGCAAAATCCAATCCAAAATGTCGTGATCAAGTATTGCGGCTGCATCAATGGACAAAGGGCCAGATGTAAGAATCATTATTTACGACAGGATGATTTTGCCGAGCATGGGGATGTCGTTGATGAGTCCCAGATCAACAAGACTTGCAAGGCGTGAGTAGTACTCATCCAGAGCATTGTCCAATAGCCAAATTTCCTGACCATGTCTCGCAGTGCTGTAATCACCTTGAGAGAAGGGGGCGGAAACTCGGATGGCGCGGATGCTGCAGACGTGACTTATCTGTTCAGGACGGATAATCATCGCTATCGTGGCGGTCCCTTCAAAGAGGAATTGAACCCAAAAATCCTGGATAAGTCGACACTCACGATCGCCGAGGCTTGCCGGGCCACCTCTGCCGCGCCCACGTGGTTTCCGCCGGTGAAGCTGCGAGGAAGGAAATTTATCGACGGCGGTGTGACGGAACACAACAATCCTGCTATTCTGGCGTGGCACGAATCAAATGAGATGGCGCACAGGCCTGGCGATACTACAGATTCCAGAAGAACCAAGGGTCCGCAGGTCTTGCTTAGTGTCGGCACGGGAAAAACGAAACAGCCTCGGAGATTTGGGCTTTACAACCTGATTCTTTCGGGCAGACACAAGCTCACAGACACTGAGGAGACACACAGCAAACTCAATCAATTCGTACAAGCTGAAGAATGTCTTTATCGGCGTTTCAATGTTCCCGAGTCAAATTCCACCTTCGAGGTGAAGGGTCTGGATAAGGTCAAATTGGATGCGTGCAAGAAGAAGTCTAGGGGGACGTTCTGGCGGAGACTTCAAAGTTCTGATACCACTGAGACTGGCTCGTTCCAAGATGCAGAAGCAGAACAAACCAGAGGAGGATACAAACCACATAAGTACTTTTACAAGACATACGAAAAGATTCGAAGCCGGGCGGTGCAATATTGCAGGAGTACCAACACCGTCGACAATGAGGATCCCGTAGCAGATATACAGACGTGCGCCAAAAGACTCTTCGCTTTAAGCCAACAGAGAAGAAACGATCAGGATCGCTGGAAAGAGTTTCAAGAGAATCCCAACCCACAATCTCGCGCACCGCCCAACCTGCAATCTCAAAATTCCCTGGGTCCAGCAAACCAGGCAGATTCTCAGCCCAACCCTTGAATCCCATTCGATGACAACGCACACGAGGACAAGATAGAGATCACCGGTTGATTCCTATACAGTTACCCTAATGATATTAATATATCCATGGAACAATCATCATTCCCATCAGTGCCTGACACGAGTGATATCTATCCTTGGCTCGCTGCCAAAGCCTGGTGCCCAACACAAACCTTTTCATCTGGTTATTCCCGCTAACAGCTCCCATGTGCTCTCTTGGGTATAGTCCTATGTGAATGCAGCGATACTATTTTGATTCTTTGTACGTCTCGGCATTGCAAAATTACCTAGTTGTGGTTGAAGACAATACCTAGTGTGACGAGTCTGTCAATAAAGCGCACAAAAGCCAGTTTGCACACAAGAATGGATAAATCACCAAGAATACATTTCATCATAGCTAGAAGATTTATTGCTCGTATCTTATCTGCAACACGGCACGTTTTGATGTGCCACTTGCATTGGCAGGACTTTCATCTTTTCCTCTGGTTTCCGTGATCTTGCCTCGTGATCCACGGCATCACATGTCAAGATTCCTCCTTGCCTTCAGCGATCCCTAATCCATACACTCCACGCAAGTCTATATTCATACAACACGATGCCTTGGGTATAGTCTCTATAACTTTCTCAAATCAAGCACCTCGCTCTCTCATGCAATGGGTAAACGCTTCGTGGCAGATGAGCATGCATTGCTTTTAAACACAAGTGTGCTCATATCATGATTCGTGCCACTGCTTCATGCTTGGGACAATGCAATTGCTTGCGAAGGAGGAACCTCAACCTCCTCTTCCTCCCCAAGAAGCATCTTCTTGCGACATTCCTCCTCTAAACTTTCCTCGTCTTCAACAACACCCTCTACCGAGGCGGCAAGGGTCAGCTTCTTGATGCAAGAGTTGAAGATCATTGTCTCAATCGTCTTTTCGGTGATTAAGCGGATAACCTCGACTTCGCGGGTTTGTCCGATACGGTGTGCTCGGTTCGAAGCCTGCACATCTTCTTGTGGATTGTCTGATTGATCGAAAAGAATGATCTTATTGGCAGCAGTCAAATTGAGACCCGTGCCACCTGCTCCTGTCGTGAGAAGAAAGACTGGAATGTTCGAGTTCTCATTGAATCGCTCAATCTCGGGAAAACGCTCGGCGACACCCGATCTACCAGTCAACTCGCAATACGGAATCTCGGCATAATGCAGTGTCTCTCGGAGTATGTCGATGACCATTTCGTAGCGGGAAAAGACAAGACAGCGGTCTCCGTTGGCTTGATAGCTGCGAATCAATTCCAGTAGCTTCTTGACCTTGGGTGCCTCTTCCCAAGACTTGTGAGCAACATCAAAGCGGCTCAAGTACTTGGGGTAGTCCTTGCACAAGAGATGCAAGCTGAAATCTGACTCGGCCATCAGCTCCTCACGCCACTTGGTCTTGAACCGTGGCTCCTTGCTCTGCACGGGTAGCATGATTGGTGCTTTCCATAGGAGGTCCGTCAGCTCAATAATCATCTCGTCTGTAAAATGTCGTCGAAAGAGCTGAGGGTGTATCGCTGCTTTGCGAAGCTGCTGCCACAGGTTTCCCTTGTCCTTGTTGCCCCTGGCTTTGGTCTTTCCTGCCAGAAAGCTATCCTTGATCCCCTCGTATAGTACCTTTTGACTTCCGGCCAGTGGTATCAACTCAACATGATCTGTCCTCTTAGGAAGGCCTATCACCTCGTCCTTACGTCGTTGCAGAATGAACGGCTTCATTATGGTACGCGCATTGCTGACTCTCTCTTTTGCGAGGGCGGCGAAGTTGAGAATGTCCTTGTTCGGGACCTTGGCTTCAAAGATTGTATGCATCTTTTGTAACACGCCAGATTCGAATAGACTAGGCTCGACGAAACTCAGGAGGCCTAGCAGCTCTTTCAGGTTGTTTTGAACTGGTGTTCCGGTGAGGACTAGCCGCCATTTCGATGGCAGCCGGGACAAATGGTGGTACAGAATCGTGTTCGGGTTCTTGAGCTTATGACCTTCGTCAAAAACTGCGACTTGGGGTTTCAGCTCAGATAGCCAATGTAGATCATCTGCTTTCCTCTCGACCATGGAATACGAAGTCAGCACAACGTCATACTCTTCGGCGATATCTAGAGGATCGATGTCTCGTCGATTGTTCCCTGTATTCAAATCAGTATATCTTCTCCCACGTTGACCTAAAGTCTCGTAACTTACCAGAGTAAATATGGAGGCTGATGGAGGGAGCGAACCTCTCGAATTCATTGGCCCAGTTTTCAAGGGTACTTGGAGGCACCATGATGAGATGAGGCCTCGCATCAGGCTGAGTATCGATGAGATGAGAGATCAGGGATATGACTTGGCAAGTCTTTCCGAGACCCATGTCATCAGCAAGGATCGCGCTATATCCCAGCTTGTGCAGGAGGCTCATCCAGTTGAGGCCAAAAAGTTGGTACGATTTGAGTTGGACATTTTCATCCATAAGGGCAGGGCGCTCTGCAATGGGCAGTGCCTTGTATGTTCGCGTTGAGTCTGACTTGGGCTTTCCATTTGTGTCCATATCCCATTTGTCCATAATGTTCTTGATTAGATCACCTCGTTCAATACACTTGTTGATGACTGTTGTTACAGCGTCGAATGCTTTGAACCAGGTGTCCAGCTTGTCGATGATGATTTCGCCAATATTTCCTTGCTTGGATTTGGCTTTTGAGCCCTTGGTCTTGATCTTCTCAACCTCGTCAAAACTTTCGAATAGTCTCTTTGAGGTGATCAACTGCGAGTCCTTGACTGTGCTTCCTGTCATTCTTGCAAGTGCCTCGGGCGTGCAGGTGTTCAAATACTCGAGGACCTTGCTGTGCTCCTTACGCGGTCCACGGATCTCACTGACACCAGACGCATCTGAGTCCGTGTCAATATCCGTGGGGAAAGGTTCGCTCTCGTCTGTCTCCATCCCGTCCGACAGCTCTATCACTTTCGGCGCAGCCTTTGCTACCGGCGTAGTTTTTGCTACCTTGGGTTCGCTCATCGACTTTTCCTTGCGACTGACCAGCCGACCACGCTTTTTGGCTTGAGGCGTCTTTTCAGAGGCAGATACCAATTTGCGCTTTTTGCTGCCGAGATTACTGAGGGATGGAAGATCATCGTCAGACTCAGAGCCGGAGTCGATAGTGATGACTTCAGAGGCTGCGGCCCGTTGGCGTTGGTTTTTGGCATGCTGAGACTGAGAATCTCCCGACGCACTCGCGCGGGCTGCCATTCTTCCAGGCTTGTCTGGCGATGACCTGCCGGGCGAGGTTGCTGCTGATGAGGTCACATGCGACGATGAGACTGAGAACACCTTGTCTGGTGAAGCGGATCGATTTCTGCGGCCCTTGACTAGGCGTCTGCGAGGCGCAACATTCTTGGCCGGCTCGGGTGAAGGCGGTGGTGAACTCGAACCGGCTCGAGATTTGGATGGTCCTGTCAGTTTCGTTTGTGTCCAAGATTTTGATTGCGACTGATTGGCTATTGTTTTCGATCTTGATCCAAAACTGGCCGTGGAAGCTGCTGGTTTTGTACGGGTTTCATCCAGTAACGATTCAACGGCTGGGGCCATTTGCAAGCCATTGTCCTGTAAAGCGTCCCGGCATTGTCGGTATGTAATCTTTGAATTGCTCTTGACAACACACTTGTGGACTTGCCTAGTGAGATAGCGTAGCCTAATATCGCGAATCTCATTGGGGTCAATGTCTTTGTTGTCGCTCGTCTTGACAAAGGAAGACGGCTTAATTTCACCCCTCATTGGCTTTTGATCATCATCTGAGCTGTCGGATCGCTTGTAATCGTTGGCCAAATCATCGTCAGAGGCGATGTTGCTGAGGAACTGCCGCTTAACAGCTGGTTGAGGTCGGCGCGGTGCAGCAGCAGGCGCTCGGAAGACTGTGCCTGCCGGCGCCATCGCAGACGCCAGTCGACCTGGTGCAGGCCCTGCTTTGGGCGGGTTTGGTGCTTGCCTTTTTTGCGCCGATTGCGTCTGGAATGGCGACGACGCCGGTACTTCGATCACGGTACGTGGGGTGTCCGGGATCGGAGGAGATGAGCGCTGGAGCGTTGTCCGCTTCTCGACAATCTGAGTAGGCTGTGTGGTTCTGTTGATGATTTGTGTCGGTTGCGTCGTGCGATTGACTATTTGTGTAGGCTGAGTGAAGTAAGGCGAAGAATCGGGAATGCTGTGGGCAAGCTCGTCGAGGTCCTCGTCTTCAATTTCGAAGCGTGCAGATTTGGTGTTTGCTGCGTTTGGCGTCGCTGGGAGCGAGGGGGAGCTCGTCCGCAGCCCTGGTATTTTGCCACCCATTTTCTCAACTTCTCTTGATCTCGAGTTGCAAACGGCGGTTCCGAGTTTGCAGTTCTTCCTCTCCTTCCAATCAATCGCCGTAAAGTCTGCTAGCACTTCACTATCGGTGTGAAGAACAGAATGGTGGTGGTGGTAATTGCGCGGGCAATGCTTAAAGCAATTGACAAGGAGACACCAGTGCTAAATGTCTTCAAAGCACCAGTGATTGTCCGTCTCTGCTTCTTTGGGTTGAAGGTGGCAGATTAGCAGCAGGACGGACTTGGTGGGTTGTGTTTAGGAATGGAGTTGCCGTCCCGACTGGAACGTCGGCGGCTTCTTGCACGCGGAAATTTTGGTATGGATGCGCACAGGGACGCGACTAGTACAAACGCGACATCAGCTGACCTTAATTGGCGGTATACTACACACTGCTCAACTAAGGATCTTGGGGCGCCTTCGTTCGGCATTCAAAATGTATAATACGTGAATAATCAACTATTCCAATCTTGTCGAAAAGTATCTTAATTGTTTCGACACTATCACATTCTTTGAGGTCAATGCTGCTATCCAAGGGAATCAATATCATCTAAAGACCAAATGTTCACAAGGCTGTTAGTGCTAGTCACATTAGATCAATGTACGCTGTAAACCACTATGACGGAATCCGGGGCAATCCGCTCATCCACCAGTGAGTGGCCCGCAAAAGGCACGGGCAAAGGGGAAAGAGAAAAAAAAGCACTGACCAGATAGATAGGCAGGTACCAAATCAAAGCAAACGCTTGACTCTTACCTAAGCTCATCCATGAGTTCCGACTCCTTGTGTGAACAATCCACGCTGCCTGCTGCTACCAGCCACAACTAAACGTGTTGTCTCCCTCAACGCCACAGGATAACCAAATACTTCAACTAGAAGCAACAAGTACCTCCCCAAGTCCAAGCCTCATTCCAGGGAAATCCCATCCAAGCAAAGAACCACGAATACACACAGCATCCCCATCTCCCCCCCTCCATCGTCATCATCATGGCAAGCCGCAGAATTGTGTCGACGGAAAAGTCCATCCTGGAGAAAGATGACAGCATCGGCGCCAGCCCCGCGGCCAACGAAAAGTCCAACATTTCTCCTGCCGTGCCCGCGTAAGTTTTTATTATTACTATGTTGATTGCTTTACATGCCGCCGCGAGATCCGTCCCTCGAGGGAGACAAAATGAATCCACTTTCGTTTGAAAGGTCACATTGGAAAAGTCAAACAGGCAGGCCTCAAGACTAATGAACTGATTCCAGGGACGTAATTGTAAAGCTGCTCGCCTTTACATTTGCCATGATTGTCGTGCCGATTGGTTCATACTATGCTACGGTTAATACTCTATTCAAGGGTAAGCTATGATCTGATGTTCTGGGTTTCCTTCCATGTCCATTTACCATTCTTGAATCTCAAATGGCATGTAACTGATAATTGTCAACAGGCAACTCTACATTTGCCGGAGCGCTGGCTGCCATCATGGCAAATGTGGTGCTCATCGCTTACGTGGTTGTCGCTTACAATGAAGACCAGAGCGAGCAGTTGGAAGATAAAAAGAAAGATACCAAGAAGCAACGTTGAATCATCGTCGACGGCAAGGGGCTCAGGGTATTGCAGTCCATACAGTCTGTCTATCTAATATGCCCACGGCGTCATTAGGTGCAAAACCAGCGAGAATCGAAAGCATTGAAATCAGCACGCTTTGTATCAATAATTTTCGAGACAAAAAAGAAATTTTGATTTCGTTTAGTGGCTAAGTCAAGGAAGCCACCATTCTATAGACACATTGCCTAAACTAACACAGTCAAACGACTGTTCTCCCACTGTTGTTGTCACTGGCAATGATTAGCCCCATGTCCTCGTCGTAGATATCATATCTGCGCAGCCCCGTCCTGCCGCGGTCGCAAAGTATTAATGTAGTAAAGTGCTATGTTGTAGGACGTCGCGTTGAAACAGCTCCTGCGAACCAATATCCTCTGTGATCTCAAACACCGTGGAACTAACCGCTCCCCCCATTCGTCGGGCGAGAGGCCATCCTATATCAACGTCTTTCAACGTTTGCTCATAATCTCAAATCCTAACTTCGTATGTACTTAAAATCGAATGTTGCCGTCATGCCAAGCGCCTTGTTGCAAAATGCAAATCACCAGGGTGCAAAAGCTCACTCCCCTGCAATCGCCCCAGACCAAGACCAGCTTCGTGGGCTCTTGACAGAGGAGCTGGCCATTGGGCATCCCGTAGATTGGCGCGAAGCATGGAAATTCCTCCAAAGGTCGCCAGAAGAAGTAGCATTCCGTGTACGGCCGTGGGTATCTCAAGTCGAAACCGGCAAATACAATCCAATGCAGTGCGCATGGTGGGTATGCTCAGCGAGTCCCACAGGTCTAGGCGTTCTTGCTAAAGCGTCGAGTAAACCAGCTCTTTCGTTTATCTCCCATGTCTGGCCTTTGTGCCTCGGCTGAGACTGCTGCTTTGGAGCTCTTCCTCAAAAGCGTACCACCGCCGTTCTTTGGTGGTGGTGGTGGAGCGTGCGAGTTGTCAGGCATAGTCCTGGGCTGCGATGCAGGTTCGCCCAAGACTGGGGGTCGATAACCTGGTGTCTGCCCAAAGCTGATGCCATAGTCATTTTGAGGCTCTTGTTGTCTCTTTTGGGGCGAACGCCGATTGATTGAGCTGTTCTCACTGCTAGTAGGATCAGTCTGGTACCCCGAGTGTTCCCCGTAACTCGCGCTGCCGGACCCGGACGCTACTGTTTCGTAGGATCTGTGGTTTCCGGGACTGGGGTAGACATTTCTGTTCACAGCTGGGTGGCTGTTCATATACGGCTCAGCCGGCTGGCGAGAGTGTCTGTTTCTCGGACCATTCCCGCCATACGGGCCGCCGCCTACTCCAGAATCAAAATTATCAAAGTAACTGTCTCTCGGCCCGCCACTGCGGGGGTCATAGTTGACACTATCTGGGCGCTGAGTCGAGCCGGAGCGGCCACCATAGTAACCCTCATGAGGGAAACGTGGGCCATTGGAGTCTGATTTCATACGGTAAGTATGTTTGTCAGGGAAGCGTGAGCTTCGACTTGGCTTACTGCCATAGTAGCTACTCCTCCTGTTCCAAGTTGACTGTGAGTCCGAGTCTGCTCGGTACACAGATTGGCGGCTGCTATAGCCATCGTCGAACGCAGCCTCAAAACTACGGATCGTGTCCAGAGGTCGTTCCCACTTGCTTCTTGTTGGGTTCGAACGGTCGGGTTCAGCTACGTTCATGTTAGGATTTCTTCTGCTTTTTTTTTTTTCCGTTGGTATAAGTGTTATCAATTTTCACTCACCGATCACGACGCCAGAAGCATCTTTGTGCTGAATTGAAGAAAGAGGTGGTTTCTCGTCCCAATTGATAGCTGCGCGAGCAACGGCGGCTATTTGGGAAGGTTAGTTATAGCTGTATATTTGGCAGATGGGCCTCCCATATCGTAGTCGTTTGACTTACAAGGCTCTGCTTCCTGCATGGCCAATGTAGGGTCGGCTTTAGTGTTTAGTCTCTTTGCTTCCTTCTCTGCGTGTGTCTCGTGGAGTGCTCCGCCCGAGAGTTTGCGACTGTGGCCGTTGGCTGATTCGGGCTTTTGCGATTTGTCGGATCGGAAACTGAAGCCTCTAGATCTAGGTCGTCGTTCCGTTTTCTGTTGCTGTGAAACCGGTGGGTACGCTGACGCTGTTTGCCTTGACTGGGCGTTTGAAAGCTGCTGCTGCTGCTGCTGCTGCTGTTGTCGTGACTGGTACTGTTGCTGAGTCGTCGGTTGTTGAGGCAGCGAGGACTGATTGTTGTAGGAAGTCGAATAGGAGTACTGCTGCTGATCTTGCTGGCTCTGTGACGGCGGAGCTGGCAGCGGATGACGGTTGTATTCGTGGGACGCCATTGTCGCGGACTGGGATCGGCAGCTCTATTATATCGCTTGATCGTGCTACTGGGATATCGGAGGGAAAGGACTAGAGAGGTGGAGTTGATACCAGGAAAGTGGACTGGGTGGATCGACGGCGGACAAGAAAAGAGTGGGCAATGGGTATTGATAGCGCAAGAAGCGATGGTGAGGTGCCAATTTACGAACCCTGCTGATGGCAAGATGGACTTTTTGGTAGAGGCACCGACGAAACGCCTGCCGAATGTCTTATCGTGGGATGGAGAATGAATGAATGGCCTGAGCGAGCGAGCGACGAAGGACAGGCCAGCTACTACCTAGCAAGCAAGGCGTGCAAGGTATGAATGGTATTATTTTCTTTTTTCCAAGCTTTGGGGATCCTGGCCGGCCAGTTAAACACGGTAGGAGGGTGGAACCTCGGAGCCTACGAACCAAGGTGGGCGGCAGGGTTGTCTAGGTAGTAGTTGTTGGGCTGGTAAGTCGCGGCTGGGGGGTTGGCAACCCAGCATCAATCAAATGTAAGTTGATGGGGTGCGGCGAAGCGCGAATGTGGTGTACCTGTCGCAGTCGGCGTGCCGCCAAAAGTGACCTGTTTTGGTTGCGTCGTATCTCGATTGATTGATTCCTGGGCAATGGGTAAGGAAGAAGGATCCGTTGCTACGGAGGGTGGGCTTTTTTGGAGGGGCCTGCGCAAGCACAAGCACGAGCACTGCCCAGGGTCCTTCTTTACTGATACTGCTTGCTTGCTTGCTTGCTTGCTTGCTTGCTTGCTTGCTGCTTCTATGGGGACGGTCGCAGCAGTGTCAAGCTATTGAACGGGGACCCCCGGCGTAGATCCTAGGTGCTCTCTCGTCTCAGAAGCAGCCAAATTCAAGGAACTGCTTGTTTCGCGTGATCGAGATACAGCACCCGCGATCGACTAGGGGAAGGTCGTCGCAGGAACTAAACAAAGGGGTTCTGAATCAAAAAAAACAAAATGGGGCCGCTGCCAGATGAAATCAATACTGGCTCGGAGGGGGAAAGTGAGTTGAGAGAAAAGAAAGTATAGTGCCCTGCTGTACACAGTAGAGCTGCTTGCCTGGCTCGGGCCCGGCTGTCTGGTCTGCTTTTCCTATGGTTTGGTTTGGCGCCTTAGGTCTGAGAGCCGGTCGATCTTGCTGGAATTGCAAATTATGGTCTGGCGCAGACTTTCGGGTCAAATTGTTCTAAACTTCCCTCTGAAGAAAAGTGACCATGAAGGTCGTCGCTTGTGGAATGACTCGAGAGCTAGTTCCGCGCGGTTGCTGCACGTAGCTTAATTGGCCTTCAAGAGCTGTTTGTTCTCTTTAGTGTAGGGCGGCGCTTGCAGCTGTTTGCTAATCGAAAAAGTGACGTCAAATAGGCGTTTGACGACACGCGATGATGGCCCAGTGATGGTTTGCACCGTCTGTGTTTGGTAAGTTGGTATGTAGGTCAAGTAGGTATGTATGAAGCGTGTCAAAGGCGTGTATAAATCTCTGCATATGCCACCTCTGTATGTACTGTATGCGTTAGAATCCGGTGATCGGTGTTTCAGGAACGCCGCCCTTCTGAGTCTCTTTGGATGATCATCCAGAAGAATGACAGAATAATGAGCAAAGCCTGTTGAGCCAACGGCCAATGAAACAGCTGATGCAGGGAGACTCCCGCTCCCTTTACTGTCTACACTTTCCTAGGGGTAAAGGATAGAATAGACTGACCGTCTGATGGAGTCTTTTGTGCAAGTAATGTATGTCGTAGCTTACGCCGATACGTGCAGCTGCGCATGTACCGTACCTAGACTCTCACAGTGATTGATTGTAGTGAATGCAGTAGTAGCAGCAGTGGATGGGTAAGGTAGTACAACACAGTCCAGTCAGTGCTTGCGGCGTGCATGGGCCTCCCGGGCATGCGAGTGCCGGTGGAAAGCCAAGTCAGGAAGTCCTAGCGTCAGATAGGACGTATGCTGTGACTTGAAAGTCAAAGAGTGAGGGTAGGTAGACAGTCTGTCCGTTTCAATTGAGTCAACGAATATATCTCGTTCTGTTGGATGCAGTGTCGCCGTCGTTCTCTATAGGTTGTGTAGGTATGATAGGTAGGAAGGTTGGGTATTCGACGACGGCAGAATGTTTTGCGGGTGGTTGTGAATATGTTTCGGTTGCCACGGAAGAAATTCAGAGGGCCAAGAGTTAAGACAACTTCTTGGAGCTGTCGTCTCGGCAGGGGCAGAGATAATATCCAGAGGTACGGCAATTCCAATCAGACCACCCACGGAAGATCTGGGATGCTTTCGGATCCCTAAACGATGGCGGACACCCGAGAAACGCGAAGGGTGCAATCAGTACTCGAGTGTGTGGTGGTATGTAGGGTACAGCAGGCAAGGTGGTATGGATGTATTCCGTATTTTCTCAACGACAGGATGTGAGGGATAGGACACGTTCATCCATTCTCTCTGTCTCTCTGCCTTTGGATTTCTTTTTAAAGTTTCGCTATGGTTGAGATTCTCGCAGGTGACGCAGCAGCCGTTCGCGTCAATGTACATGTCGCACAGCAATCTTGTCTTCTAGACCATGGGCAGTGCAGCGCAATGAATTACTTGTTTCTCCCTTCTGGTTGTCTGTCATCTGCTGCTCTAGAGGCAAAGTAACTTTGAGCTCCAGGCAGCTCGTCATCCATGCTGTCCATGTTGTTGGCAGAAAGCCGTGGAAGCTGTCAACGCCAGCGTCCACGTGTAAACCCCCAGCTTCGCACGCAATACGAATCCATTGTAGACAGCTAATAACCAAGGTGGTGGGGCCAAAAAGAAGCCCGCGTCTTCCGGCACGTCTGTTCTGTATGGATGGATGGAGGCCTTTCGAAACCTGGCCACGTTTTGTCCCTCCCAGATCCAGAAACATCTGATCACGGCCTGCGGTATTACATGGCTACATAATATGTATGATGTGACATCTGATCCTGTTGCTATTATTTTCGCAACTTCTATTACTGGACAGCAAGATGCATCGAAAATGTGTGCAGACGAAATAGTCCCGCAAAATTCTCCGTTTCATGTTGCTTTTTCTGGATTCGATTCGAGCATGGGGGATAAAGACCGCATTTGCTCAAATCCCATACTGGAAACAGGCGTCTAGTACTAGCAGGTAGGGTGCATGCGAAGACTATTCCGCATTCGACATGCACACAACCATCATACAACACGAATAGCTATTGCATAACCTAAGGCAGTCCAATTTCAAGCATACACAAAATTCAGACCAGCCAGTTTGTGCTGTTTTCCAATCAGGGACCTCGACGGCCTCTGTTGCTACATAGTGCGTTAGGCAGACATTATTTTAGTCACGGTAAGTGAGTCCAATCGCAGTGGGTGGTAGTACGGAATATCGCAGGAAGAGACTCAAGATCGGCCGATCTTGCTGTCATGGACCCATAGCAACGCAGCCATTGCTAGAATTGGCAGGGAACAGGGATTGCAGACCGCTGCCCCTGGCTTACGAAGAAGGAAGCATGGACTTTGAGCTAACTTGCCTGCTAGTGAATTGAAGATCTACGTTAATACGAAGCTATTTTAGTTGACCTGTGCCGCTTCCAGCTTTTGACAGGCCGACAGCTGTTGTACGCGCTCCCATACCTGAAAACCTGACATAATCCCTTTCTTTCTTTCTTTAGGCGGGCGTTTTTCCATGTTTACCTTCTCTGGTGGCAATGACTATTGACAGATGCAGATATTTGAGGTTGAGATGGCGCCGTCTACTTTCGTCTTGACTCGAACCAAGCGCTCGACCGGCGTCAATGGCCAGAGTAGGTGTCAAGTGCCGTCCAGAACATGCAATCATGCAATCTCTCAAACTCTCCGCCTTGATGCTTTCCAACTTTTTTTTTTCCTGCATTTCTTTGCTGCCGGCTTGCCTGGCCTAGGCCAGCCCGCCGGATCTCCGCTGTCCACGCAATGATCTTCAGCACGGCGGCCGCTGCCATTAACTCCCAAGTTTTGGCGCTACCATATGCATTTCCCCGACCCGAAGAGCTTTCCTTTGCACTACTTTACTGCTAAGTCACCGGAGAAATACTCGTCAGCAGCTGCCAAGATATTTGAAAATGTGCAGATCCGTTTCCAGCCGTTACACATGGCCTGATCAAAACATTGGCTATCATGGCGAAAACGGTTTCCAAGATGGCATAGTATTATTCACCCACTTCACTCGTCAAGTATTACGTCAACTCGAGAATGCGGGACTTTCTGGTCATCCAATGCTTATTATCCATCTAGTAGCAACATCTTCTGACAGCGCTGCTTTTTGTCAGTGCTTTTTAGACTCGCGGTACTATCCTCTATCAGCCATGCAAGTGGATTTTTCTTGGTTGCCGTAGCGGCATTCTGCCAGATCGTTGCCTTGGACCAATCAGCATTCGTCCAACTCACAGTGGCTTGCCGGAAAGGGCTAGACATTCTCCAAGATGGCGGAATGCGCCTCAATCTCAAGGTATCCCGACTCCCCTCAGCGCGGGTGTACGAATTTTTGGTCTCCCAGAGAAAGACGAAAACCACAAAAACAAAGGGGTCTCAAAACAGCTGCACCTACAATATAATAATACAGGATACGATGCGATGCGATGCACCACCTCCAATCATCTATCTATACTATAAACGGACCCTGACGAGAATTCGCAGCAATAAGTAGCGACCAATTTATTCGTCTGCACTTCGCCACCAACGTCGTGTTCCTGCGAGGGGTGGCCAGCACAGATCTGCTTAGAGCTGCACAGCCTCCTTTATTCCGCCCAAGATAGGCATCACCCTTGTTGCTATTGCCTCATCCACGATTCATCACGAATAAGACAGACGTGGCTGCTGATTTATTCATTGTGCCGGTCAGGATCAACAATTCGACATTCCGGGCGCTGCAAATTTCTTCGTTTCCCAACTCCCGGGATTGGCGAGACATTGACAAAGTAAGCGGCACATGCTTACAAGCTACCACACAGGGTAGTACTCGCTATTCCCAGGACCTGCAGAAGATCTTGCTTGATTCCCGTCCTATCCGACCAGCAATCAAACCATCTTTACAGCCTAGAGTACCTTTTGCTGTCCGCCATGAAGCGGCTTATTTAATACTTTTTACGGACCTTCAGAAATGAAAAGAAGGGGGGACAAAAGAGAGAGGGAAAAGTGCAAATCTCTTTTGCGGAACCTTGAACCGGAGAAGGTTGCTGACATCTAAGCATTATCAAGACAAGATTCAGAGTGTTGAGTGCCTTTCCTTGTGCATCGCCCTACAACCCGCCCCGTCGATTATTACCAAGGTAACACATTGCATGCTTCCCGTGTCTGCGGCGTGCAGTAAGCTAGGCAAAAAGACGTGGTGGCGGAATATGTGTTGCTGCACATTGCAGATTTCCTCGTTGCGTAGTATCCATCGCTCGCCGTGTCAAAGGGGGCAAAAGTAACAATAAACGTGGGCATATCCCCCAAGGAAGATAATAAGCATATTCTAAAAAGGCTACTCAAAGTATCTCCGCCCGCCAGAGAATATAAAGCTAGGCGATACGATATGCTGCCCACGGCATCATCATTTAAGGATTTGAATAACCTTGAGTGTGTGCACTCTGATTCCTTTGCTTGCAAGCACTTGTTGCATCTGAGGCCAAAAAAATAGAAACTCTACATTGTAATTTTTGGCATGTGTCACCGCAAGTCCGTCCATCCTTTGCTGTCATCAAGTAGCCAATGCAGTGCTCTATGGCAAAAAAAACTTGGAATAGGAGTGGGAAGAAAAAGCTTTGAAAAGAAAGACAAATAAATCATTGGCGGTTGACTGTGGCGCCACGGTAAAATCAAGGTAAAACCCGCCTGTAGTTTCTGGCCAAGGGCGCCTTGTAAAACGGCTGTGTATACATGGCTGTTCTGCCTAATTTCCAGTGCCGATTTTCAAGCACACATTTTTGGCATCATGTGACCATGTTGGTGATAAACCCCAGAGACTCGGTCTTGATATATCATTCGTGCCCAGATAATTCACGAGACAGCGCAAGTCATTGAAAATGGTCATGAGTGATGATTGTTATTTGCTGAAGGTGGCCAGAGGAGGGATGAGAGCAACGTCTTGTCCGTCCAAGCTACTATATACAACCGGACAACGTCTTGTTATCTTTTTTGAGATGTGTTATTTTAATTAGTGTGGCGTTTTTCGTTATCCAATACTCATTTCCCCATGTTCTTGAACCGTGTCCAGTCCAAGTGAAATGTCATGACGGGCCTCGACGCCTCTAGAATTTATTCTCACAAAACTCATACAACAAAGCTAGTCTACCGGTCAAGGGCTTGACTTTGGCACTAGAGAATAGAGCAGTCAGAATATGATTATAATGATACAAGGTGAAATGAAGAAGAAAATGCAGGAAGGATATGACTAGAAACTTACCATGTGCCAGTAAACACCCTTCTTCCTAAGCAGTTCCTGGTGATTTCCCCTTTCCAGGACACGGCCCTCGCCGAGAACAAAGATAACATCGGCATTCTGGACGGTAGCCAGACGATGCGCCACCACAACCATGGTGCGCCCGTTAGCAGCGCGCTCAAACGCCGCCTGCACCAGCCTCTCGCTCTCCGAGTCGAGCGAGCTGGTGGCCTCGTCGAGCAGCAGGACGTGCGGCTGGCGGATGAGGGCCCGCGCAATCGAGACGCGCTGCTTTTGGCCGCCCGATAGGCTCACGCCGCGCGAGCCGACCTGGGTCTCGTAGCCCTCGGGCAGCGACGTGATGAAGTCGTGGATGCTGGCGTCGCGGCACGCGGCGTGGAGTTGGGCGTCGGTGATCTTCGCGCTGTCCACGCCCAGCAAGATGTTCTCGCGCAGCGTGCCCTGGAATATGTTGGGCTCTTGCGCCACGAGCGAGAGGTGTCGGCGGTACTGGTACACGTTGAGCTGGCTCACGTCGGTGCCGTTGGCGAGGATCTGCCCGCTTTTGGGTTCGTAGAAGCGTTCCAGCAGGGACACGATGGATGTCTTGCCGCAGCCTGAGGCGCCCACCAGGGCCGCAAACTGGCCCTTTTCGATAGTCAGGTTGAGGCCCTTGAAGATGGACACGTTGCGTGTCGGGTATTTGCTGGTGAGTCGAAATGTGTTAGCTTCCGGATCTTGTAGAGAAATTTCCACCAAGTGCTAGGTAGTTAGGGATTTCCCGAGACATGAGCATGGGACCGGGAAACAAATTCTCGAATACAGATATATTCAGAAAACTATGCCCCCCAAAAATGGGAAATCGCAGATCGGAATACCTACAAATGAACATCACGGAGCTCGATCTTGATGCCACCCTCGGGGTCAGGGATGCTGGCTGGTGTCGTGCTTTGGGGGTCGTCCTTGTTGCCGCGCAGTTCGCGAACGCTCAAGATCCGATTGGCAGCCGCCGAGGCTTGCGCAGCATTGGGCCCGAAGCTGAAGCCTTGGCCGGCGGACTCGGCGCCCTGGATGACGGCCATGTAGCACACGAAAAATTGCATGGGATCATACTCACGCGTGGCCATGAGTCGACCGCCGTACCAGAAGATGAGGGCTTGGCATCCGAGACTGATGCTATCGGACAGGGCAAAGATTAGTGTAGTCCACCGAGCCTTTTTGAAGGCAGAGCCCACGTGCCCGTTGAGGAGTCTGTTGTATCTCTCGGCAATGGTGTCCTCCAAAGTCATTGATGAGACTGTTCTAAAGGCACTGATGGCCTCGGCGGCAAACTTGCTGCTCTCGGCAAACACGGCACCGTACATCTTTTCAAACTCGAGCTCATACTTGAGGCGAAAGTATCCAGCAGAGAGACCCAGCGGCATCGTGACACATAGAGCCACAAGCGCCAGCTTCCAGCCAAAGGCAAAGGCAATGGACAAGGAGCCAATGACGGTAAAGATGGAGTTGTATACCAAGGCCATGTTCATGCCCAGCATCTCCTCCAGCTGCTTTGGGTCGCCGCCCACGCGAGCAGTGAGGGTACCCGTCGAGTTATCCTCGTCGTCGAAAAAGTCCGTCTTTTGATAAAGAAGATTCTCAAAATACTGTTTCCTGTACGTGGCCGAGATGTAGTGTGCCAAGTGCGTGGAGACGAAACCTACGACAAAATAGGAGAAGCCAATGCAAATAGCCAAGACGAACCACATGAGTGACCAAAAGTTGGCTTCGTCCCGGAACCGCGCGGACTGCGGATCGTATTGAAAAATGACGACAATCTGAGCAAAGAGGTAGGCCTGGAGGGGAGATGACACTGCCGTGCACATGGAGAAGAAGATGATCAAGGCATAGGATACGAAGCGATCCCTTTGCTCGTACAGTAATCGGCCAAAACTCTTAATGAGTCCCTGGCGCTGATAGCCAGTCTTTTGTAGCACGTCATCGTGATCCGATACGGCTGCACTCTTTTCGCGGCTCAAGACGGCGCCGAGATCCTCTTCTTCTGGAGCTTCCGAGTCGGCAGCCTCTGTGGGCTCGCCGAGTGAAAGCTGCTGGGCGTGTACAAGTCCATAGTAGACACCCTTCTCATTCTGAAGTAGACCTTCATGAGTTCCACGTTCGACAACGCGCCCCTTTTGGAGTACCACGATGGCATCTGCCTTTTTGATGGTTGAAAGGCGATGGGCTATCGTCACCGTCGTTCGGCCTTGCGAGACCTTGTCAAGCGCCGCCTGCACGATGCGTTCACCCCGAACGTCAATGGCCGAGGTGGCCTCATCCAGAATCAAGATCTTGGGCTTCTTGATGACGGCCCGGGCAATACTGATGCGTTGACGCTGGCCACCCGAGAGCTTTGTTCCGGAATCGCCCACCATTGTGTCGTATCCATCTGGCAAACGGTCAATGAACTCATCCGCAAAGGCTTCTTTGCAAGCCTCGATGACCAGCTCCTTCTTCCGCTCTTCGCTTTCGTTTTCAAACTTGGACCCAATCAGGCCATATGCCACATTCTTGTATATCGAATCGTTGAACAGAAAGGGCTCTTGTTGAACGAGACCAATTTGCGATCGCCACCACTTGAGCTCGATATCTTTGAGCTCCTGTCCAGAGGTAGAAATTGAGCCCTTGAGCTCGACTGGAGGCCCAGATTCTTCATCGCTGGTCAGTTTGTTACCATCCTCATTGACTTCATCATCGTCAGTCTGGCCCTTTGCCTTTTTCTTTTGCTTGGCCTTTTCCTTTGAGGTGTCTATAGCTTTGGCAATGGTGTATTGATCGTCGAGGGTGTACCACCGCTCAATCAGTCCGACAATGGTGGATTTGCCGCTCCCAGAAGGACCTACAATGGCCGTGAGTTTTCCGGCTTCGAGGGTCAGGTTCAGTCCGTCGAGCACCTTGACGTGGGGCCGACTTGGATACGCAAAATCCACGTCTTGGAAGATGATGTCGTCGGTCGCAGAGACCTCGGGATCCTTGAGCTTGCCACGGTACGGGCGTGGCGCGTCAATGACGACAAAGAACTCGCACGCGGCCACCATGGCTTTCCCGACGGCGATCAAGGGGGTCGACATGCGCTCGAGGGAGATGACCATCATCATGACGGACATGAGGACGACTACAATATCGCCCACGTTGGCCACGCGGTGCTCCGTGACGGACTTGGTGCCGTACCAAAAGGACAACCCAAAGGATCCAAACAGGCCAAAGAAGATGAGGCCAAACTGCAGAGCCATGACGGGAGAAGTCCTCTGGCCGTGCTTTTGGGCGGCGTCGGCCCAGACGGCAAAGCGCTTGGTGGTCTGCGTCTCGGCACCGCAAGCCATAACCATGCGTATACTGCTAAAGGCTTCGCTGGCGACAGACGACGACTTGGTCTCGGCAGCTGTCTGACGCGACTGGCCCTTAAGAATAAAGGGAAGGAGAACACTAATCACCAGCATGATGAAGATAATGACGGAGCCAGTCACGAGAGTCAAGGACCAGCTCTTGATAAACGCCACGATGATGGCTGCCACAATAGTGGCCAAGAACTCGAGGAAAGTAGCCAGTTTCTCGGAGATTCCAAGCTGCAATGTATTCGCGGTTGTCGTAATGGTGCCTGCGGCGGCTCCGGGCGGCATGGAATCGAGGACATGAATCGTTTGTCCAAAGAGACTCTGGAGATAGTGTAATCTAATGGCAGCTGACATGCGGATACCTATGATACGGAAAGAAAACTAGAATAAAGTGATCAGCTCCAAATCTACGCAGGCGAGAAGATATTCAGAATGCAACAAACCTTGGTCATGTAGGTCAGGCCGAATTTGGCAATGAAGAGAGCAAAGATATAGAGCCTAGAAAGTACAGATTAGTGTCAAAAGTCCTAGTCACTCTCCGCATGGCAACTCACGCATTTCGATTAAGCGCAGACTCGAATGCGGCTTGGGAGACTGCAGAACCAGTCGTACTGAAATACGATACAAAGTCGGTGGTGAGGGCGCCTTGTTTTGTGGTAAATACATTGGTCTTGATCCCAGATCATGGACGGTATAGAGAACCTACCGAATACCACATTCATCAGAGGCATCGTGACACCTGCCGCTATAGAGGCAAAGCCCGCCAGGGCCATGAGCGGATAATCCCATGTTTTTGCGTAAGAGAAGATGCGCTGAGTGTTGTCAAGACCATCAGAATCATTGGACAGTATCACGCAAGTATATCGTGTGAAGTTGGGGACGGTAAGGATGTGATGGTAAAAAGCATATGGGGGACACCCACGTAATAATCGCTAAACTTGGCTTCTCGCTCAGGCCTCAGCTTTGCAGCCTCCCTTGCCTGCTGTTCATCGCGATCATCGGTTGGATTTGTTTCGGTCGAAATATGATTCTTATCTGGCAATCCTTCTGGCCCCGCAACCCCAGGGTCAAGGACCTGTGTGTCTGGTGTTGTCATGGCCTATGTTGTAGGTGGTGATTTCTGTTTTACTCAAGAGCCATGGGGAATATATCGAATGACTGAGGCAGCACACTTTATACCAATGATTATATCCTTGAGTGTTTCCCCCCTTTCAGGCGGTTCCAAATCTGACTTGGTCCGTGTCGTCTTGGTAGTCTAACAAAACAGTGTTGCCTGTTGTGCTGGAATGAATGTGACGGCGTAAATAAAGGAACAAGCGTTGAAGGCGGGCAAATGAAATTACCAAGAAACCAAAAAGGGTATCACTGTTCAGGCAAAGATGAATGCGAGATTGCTTTGTTGGGCTGCAGGAGGTTCTGGGTGGCTAAATAATGAAGGAAAAAGCAGATGTTGCAGTTGCGATGATGACGATTATATCAAGCAGATAACTTAATACATATAGCGTGTCAAGAACTTTCCGAATAATGAATGCTTACAAGGGGCTCCAGCTCTACCTCACATTTGGCCGTTTAGATGGGCAGGGTTCATTCGTTGTCGCAGGCGATTAAAGGCTTGGCCCCAGGGGAGATCCTGCTGGGCGACTAGATCTCAAAGCGGTAAAGAGAAGTAGCAGCAACCAGCATAGCTGTGTACCTATTGCTGCCTGCCCTTTGGAGTGTAGGTATGATATAACATCATGGTACTCGGGGCGGTACATTACTCATGTCATCACTTGCCTTCTCCAAGAAAGAATTTTCCTTGTCCAAGACTCATATATTGATCCAATCATGTAAATTTCATATCAGCTGCCTAAGAAATGACCAGACAAGAAAACAATCTGTCGTCTTATGTCTTGTGCGATGCCCGAGCTGTATATGTATTATCGGGCGGTAAGACGGGCGCTGCGGACAGTTTATCGCCCCGTCGACTTAACCGAACCCCGACAGTAGATCAGGTAGGTTATTTAGCTGGCACCTAGCTGGCACCCCCTGGTTACCTTGGGTACGTAGGATCGTAAGCCGCCAAAAAAGGCTAATTTCAAGCCTTTTCTGCATGGTCTAGAGCTTCCCCAGATTTTGTCTAGTGCTATAATGCCAGCAGCACCTCAGGTTCCCCGTTATTACGCATTATTTATAACTTAACATGTACCTACCTATATAACTCAACTGATAGAGAGAGTTCCTGTGTGACAACTGATCAACTTTGAGGCCCGAGAGATCTGGTCCCGTTCAGGGCTGCCTGCACATGATATCAAACCCCCCCCCC